ATATATATGTAAATATATATTTTTATATACATAATGCATGCGTTCTTTCTCTCCTCCCCTCAGCCATACATCCCTTTTTTTCTTTTGGCCGTTTTTTGTTAGGCATTGAACCCCACCCCACGGAGCGGTGCTGAGTGGTGTCCTCCCCTCCCTAAAACCTAAACAGAGTTCCGTCTATGGAGCCTAAATCTTAAACCATGGCATGGCGCAGTAAGTTGGCCTAGTCTCTCGCCCAGCCTTCGCCTTCTTCAGTGGCCAAGGACACAACCATCATCCGAACCGTCTGCTACCAAGTCCATGGGTTGGAACCCATAACAAACTGAAAAAGCACTTCTGCCGGTCGACGAATGCGTGCGGAGGTTGTAGCAGTGTTGAATGAACGGCTGATTGGAACCAGACCGGGTAACTTTAAAGGTGGTCCCGATGTTAGATTCTAAAGAACCGACGGTTCTATTGGTGACCCGTTCAAAAGAAGCTGGCCGCATATATATATATATATATATATATATATATATATATATATATAATTTACAAGAAAATGTCTTAGATAAAAAAAATTCAAAAAAAATAGCCCGGACCACTTAGGCCCGTGGGCCCGACCTATTTAGCCCGGGACCATGTGGGCTTAGGGCCACAACGGGCCGGTTCCATCCTTTGGGACCGTTTGGCCCGGGACCGCCAGAGCCCAGCCCGCCAAAGCCCAGGCCCGTTAGGCCCATTTAGGCCCGGGCCCGGCCTAGAATACAGCTTATTCATCTCTGAAGGTTCGAGTTTTGATTTTATTCTTTCTTTCTTCCCTTTTCATTCTATTAATAACCTATTTTCTTCCTTTATAGATCAACTTGATAGGCACGTAACTCATGAAAAGAATCGTCCATGCTGACCAACAAATTGCTGAGTATCGTACCGAAGCTGACAATTGGAAAGAATAGTTGGAAGGTCTTCAACTGGAGAAGGAAGTGTTGGCAGAGGAGAAGGATGCCTTAGCACAACAACTGCATGTGATCGCGGCTGAATTAGCAATTGAAAAAGCTTCTTCAAGCCAAGTTGGTAAAGATAAGGATATCCTTGAGTCTTCTTTTGCTAAGCAGCTTTCAAAGGCAACCGAGGAGATAAGGAGTTTGAGGGAACTCCTTCATCAGAAAGAGGCTTATTCTAGAGAGTTGGTTTAAACATTAACTCAAACTCAAGAAGACCTCCGTGCCTCTACTGATAAGGTTAAGTTCTTGGAAAGTTCCCTTGCTCCTTTGAAGGCAGCTTTTGACACTTCTAAAATAGAGAAAGAGGAGTTGATAACTGAAATTGATCAAAGTCAAAACTTTCCTTCACCTGAAGATGGAATTCCCGAGGGTGATGAACTTGCTCCTGGTGAAGCTGTTATCCAAGCCTCTCTTCTCAAGCTGATCTCCCTACCTCCGCCAATGAAGCTCCCGTTGTTGATGTTCCAGTGGATGATGCCTCCTAGTTTTTCTTGTTTTTTGATGGTTTTGTTTAGAACTTGTTGATGGGAAGTTTCGTTTTTTTTCTTTTGGATAGTGGTTGGTTTTACCCCTATCTTGTTTTGGGGTTTGATGACAAACGTATGCCTTGTTTTTGCAGAGTTTGATATATAAATTTCGGCTTTATTTTCTGCCTATTTTAATTTTGAGTTTTTGTTTCACCCTTTGTCATTTAATTTTGCACTAAAAATGCTTCAATATTCCGTGATTCTAATAGACACGAAATTATAATAAAAGAGGGCCCTTTTATAAACGACACTAATGAAAATGACGTCTCATCTTCATATTGGTGTATATATATGAAAGAAGTATAAAAAAAAAATTTGAGGAAGTTTTATACTTTGAACTTTCAAACTTTGTACATCATACTTTGTTTATGCAATACAACATTTACAACTCTTTCAAAACTGTTTTATTTACAACAGGTTCAAAAATTTTGGGTTTATAAACCCGTGACTAAAAACTCATAAGAACTTGGGGTATATCTTGAATCCATTTGTGTCTTTTTTTCGAGTTTCTTCAAAGATTTTCGAAGGCTTGAGTTTTGGAGACTTGATTCAGGCTTGAATTCAGACTTTTTGTCTTCTTGTCTTTTGCCTCTTCATATATATATATATATATATATATATATATATATATATATATATATAGTGTTAGAGCTTTGAAGTATGAAATCTCGAGCACTAGATCGTTTCTTCCTTTGGTCCATTCCCTGGAAAGGAAAATACATACAGGACTCGGAAGTATATATTTAGATGATGACTGCTTAACCCCTTTTCATCATCATAACTAAAAACCTCCCCCCC